TTTTCATGTCTAAGGGCTCGGGCACCTCAAGCCGCAGTACCCCGTCGGCCTCGGGGCCCGAATCTTCTGGACTACGCGACTCCCCAGCCCACAGGGCTCGGACATCCAAAGACGGAGTAACGGCCGAATCGAGCTTCGGGGGTGGGGATTGCGTCGCATTAGGATGTAGGCCTCTCAGAAGCCGCGTGGCAGGCAGGACCTGCATGGGCAGTACCTTGCAAACCCCAGCCAGGCCCGACCCAGGCCTGACCTTTTCTGCGCGCGTGCACCGCATGCCTTGCAAGACTACGCTGGCGGTTCGTGTTCGAGCCCGTGCACTGGTGAGTGGACTATCTCGTGCCCTTGAATAACAAAAACACGGCTGGAGACGGCTAGCGCTCCAAGCTGTAGGAGGGTCCGCCGCGGGAGCTGATACCGCCTCTCCATCAGGGTACATGTCTGGCGGGAGGGCAATGCGCGATCGGAGCGAGGCCCTGCGTTCGCAGTGCTTCTCCAATGCTTGCGCCTCCTCGGGCTCCAGCTGAGGCATCCACATCGAGGCCTATCACAACATCTGCCGTGCCTCCAGCTCCGTGTGAGTTTTGGAAACGGGCCTCGTGCAGCCACTCTTGGAGTCTGACGGGCCATAGGGCAACGCCTTCAGTCCTGCGCTCGTAGGCTTCAGCAGCAATCTCTTTCTCCGCGGGGATCTCCCACAGACGGGCACTTGCCGTGGCCCACTTGTCGACCAAGCTGGTTCCACCGAAGCATCCAGAGGTCGCGTGGAGAGGTGGCCTCCGATGGCTTCCTGTAGGCCTTCACCTTGAAAGCACCAGAGAAGGTCTCAGCTTTGGCCCGCACCATATTCCTCACTCCTGGGATCGAGGGCCTTCCTCGCGCTGCGTGCGCAACGGGCCCAGCCAGCACAACCACTGCACACGTCGAGGAACACCTTCGCCTGCTCCCGAGGAGAGCTTCGAGAATTGAGCCGGCATGTGAAGCACGAAGTCCTCCCCGTCCCGCGCCCACTGGTCGGGCCTCCAAGACCATGGCACCACCACATGCATGCTGGCAGCGACGCTGCCACTGCGATCTACTTGCGTTGCTGACCAGCCAACTCGCCTGCATGCGCTGTGCTTCGTGCTAAAGGCTGAGCCGTCCATGAACACGGTCCCTCCCCGGAGACACCCAGGATAGACCCCCGACGAAGTGCACCTAGTAGCACTCAGGAGCCCCGGGTCGTCCGAAGCAGTTCTCGGTGGAGGGAAACAGGACGCTGGAACAAAAACTGACTTTCTTCTCCCCCCAGCTTCCGCACACGGCTGGCCGCCACCACGACCGAGTGGGGCATGTCAGTCCACCTCAAGCTGTCAGGGCACGAGCAGAAGGAACCACGGTGGTTCAACGTCCCCCAGCAGCCGCACATCTTGCAGTCCCCAGACATGGACTTGCCGTGACGGAACAGGTGCTGCTGAGGCCAGCGGGTGCCCGACACCAGGGGCCGCACAGGGTTCTTGCCGTGCTCGCTGAGCTGAGGCTGGCGACTGAACAGCGCGCCCTCAGGGGGCTTCCAGCTCAATTCAGAGCCCCGTCGCTGGTATCTGCTCACCTGCACAGCTCATCCGCCGCAACAGCCATGTGTCTCACCGCCGTCACAGCTCTGCCCGGAGAAGAACTCAAGATTGAGGAGCTCTCCTGAGGGGCCACCAATCTCCGCCACAGACTGCATCAGCACGAGATGGAGCATCTGGGCAGGCTTGCTACACTGGCTCTCGGGTCTTCTGGATCTCAGCATGTGTCTAGATTGTTCCAGGACAGCTTCTAGAATGCTCCAGGACAGCTGCGAGAAGTGCACATCGAATTACAGATCAAACGTCGATTTGCAGAGGAAATTACGACTGGAACTACACATCGAAATGCAGATCGACGTCCAAACTGAAATGCAGCTCGGAAATGCACATTCAAATCGTCGGTACATATCTGATTGTCATCTAACCACGCGTCGGCATGGCAACGACCTGTACAATGAAATGCCAGTCAAACTGAACTCGATTTGCACCTCGAATTGCGCGCCGACGTGCAACCCGACCTGCAATCAATTCGGAAATTGATGTGCCACGCCACATGAACACCTATTATACATCGTTTACGCTTCGCGAGTCCCCGGCAGCCCATTCAGAAGCACTGCCCACGAGAGCTGACGGGAAATGGACAGCAGAGACGCATATCGTGAAACAAAGCGGTCAAAGAGAGGAGGGGGAGGAACGTGGTGAGCCATGTTGGAGGCTACTTGGAGCTCTGAGGCTTTTTGGGTGGGTCTTGGGGGCTCCTGGTGCCCTTTTGGGGCATCTTTGGGCCCTCTTGGGGCTCTTTAGGTGGTCTTGGGGCCCTCTTGGGGCTCTTTTGGAGTGACTTGGGGCCCTCTTGGGGCCCCCCTTGTGGCCCTCTTGGGGCTCTCTTGGGGCTCTCCTGGGGGCTTCGGAGGGCCTCCTGGGGCCATCTTGGAGGCCATCGATCAAACGGGGAGGTCCCTTATCTAGCCCCCCCCTCCGCTAAGAGTCCTCGAAATCGCCTCTGGGGCTCTCATGGGGCGCTCTTGGGGCGATCTTGCGCTCTCTTGGGGCGGTCTTGGGGGCCTCTTGGGCCCCTCTTGGAGCTCTCTTGGGCCATCGTGGGGCCATCTTGAGGCCTCAGACCCGCATCGGAATCGAAGAGGGGAGAAGGCCAACATCATCGATGGTCCAAAGGTTTTTGAAGGATTCGGGCTTCTCGGGGAGGTTCAGGAGGGTCTCCAAAAGCACTTGGATCAGCCTTGTGGCCCTCTTGGGGCCTCTTGGAGGCATGCTGGTAGCTATCTTGAGCCATGTTGGGCTATCTTGCGCGATCTTGGAGGCTCTCTTGGGCTTTCTGGGGCCCTCTTGGAGCCATCTTGGGCCAGAACGGATCCTCTGACACCTCGCGACCCCACCCTGTCCAGGTCCAGGGGATGGGGTAGGGGGAGGGTCAAGCTACTCACCCGCCCGCAGGCCGTCTAGCTCACTCCCACCCGCACTCCCAACACGTAAGTAACACCCGAGCCTGAACATGTTCATCGGTCGTCTTTGGATGGACAGCAACTGGGAACCAAAGCCGACCCCAGGTGCGCAACGCTTGGGCGAGGTGCGCCACGCGTGCCAGGGGCGTCACGCGCGCCAGGCACCCCTGGGGCCCGAGCGTGTCAGGCACGCCTGGTGCGCCAGATGCGGAGTGCGCCAGGTGTGCCGCACACTCCAGCCGCGCCAGGTGCGCCGCGTTCGGGGCACGTGCAGAGTGCGTCAGGTACGTCTGCGCACGTGACAGCACACATCGGGAAACATGTCGGTTCCCGCCATCCTTGTCGACAACCGATGCCGTCATTGTGTTTGGTAGGCCTGCGCGCAGCAGGTCACGCGCTACTACCCCCGTCGTCCCTGTGAGAAACGACTTGACAGTGATCGCGGGATGGCCGCGCATGGTCCAGATTTATCCGTGAGGTGCATGTTGTATTGTTTTTTTAGGGATGGTAGCCCTCCTTCGCCGTCCATGTCAGAAACCAATACAAACTGCCCGCGGGCCTCACGAACATGACTCAAGAATTTGCCCTAGAGTATACTTTTCATTGTTTTTGACAGGGATGAGGGGGGCGCATCGGGTTGGCCGCGCATGCTCCAAACGTGGAGGCAGAGTGCGGTTTATTTTGTTTTTTGACAGGGATGGTGGGGGGCGTGTCGGCATGGTGTCCGCATGGTGTCGGCATGGTGTCGGGGTGGCCCCCGGTCTCCTGGGGGAAGGGCCTGCACCTTAATCGGGAACAGTGATTAAACCCTTCCCCGAAGGGGAAGGAGGGCTCTTGGAAGAGAGAAGAACGACATCGTTAGACCGCCTGCGCACAGAGGGCAGGCGGGACTTGTTTTGGGTATCGAATTGCTGAGCATAATGCAAATTACAATTCAAACGCGAATCGACATGCCTCGACCTTCGCGTCGAGATTGCAATCGACATGCAAATCGGCGATCTACTTGCAGTCGAAACGCAAGGCGAAATGCACACCGAATTGCAGCTCCAATTGCAATCGAAGCGCAGGCGACATGCACATCAAAATTCCAATCTTCTTTCGATCGAAACATACGGTGAACCGACATTGGTATTCACATCCAATGTAATCGAACTGCCCTATCAACGTGCAACATCGAAGTGCGGATGACACTAAGGATCCCGCGAATGGTGGTGATGCAGCTTTTTGCGAATCTTGGTCTCGACCACTGGTTTGATGACGATTCGTTTCGCATTCTAGGCCCTCTTCTGAGCCAGAGCAGTTGGGGTACTCGGGCGCGCGGTCCCCGCAGCGCGCGGGCAAGGCAGCCGGAGGTCAGTGTCACGAGCGACTTGCCACCCCTTCGGTTTTTCACATCCGTAGCGGCGTGACCGAATGTGAACACACACACACCACTCAGAGAAGGAAATGGTACGGATTCCGCGAACCTTGCCTCGTTTTCCTCTGATCTGGCCTCCTGGGAGTTTTCGGCGCCACCGCTGGAATCGCCCCGAGATCCTGGTCAGAACGCACCCTGGAGTAGCGCTATCTGTATCATTGGGTTTTTCCGGCCACGACGCGCAGGGGGAGGAAGCGGACCGCCCAATCTGGTGGGCGCAGGTCAAGGGAGGAAAAACCACCCATACCCCGACCATCGGCGTTTACCAAACGGCCCTGGGCGTCTACGAAACAGCTCCGCCGTGCTCGATTCCTTCCTTGGGGGCGTCTACGAAACGGCTTTGCTTGTCGGAGTGATTATTCAAGTGGAGACCCATGCCAAGAAACACCCTGCTTGCCTCCAGGGTGCCCTGGGTTTCTTGGGCTTCGATGGTTTTGCGATGGAATGCGTGACGTTTCCACACCCAAATATCCATGAACGTCCTGGGGCCGCAGGGTTGGGTTTCTTGTGGAGGGCTTCTTGTGGTCGGACCCCTAATGGACGGGGGTGTATTTTCTGGCCTCTAACAAGGAGCCACGGGCGCATCGGCAGGATGAAGAGGCACATGGTCGAGCAGTGCAAGGCGCTCCGCTCGCCCTTTCTCCGCTCGCGCCCGACGGCGCCGGCGGCCCTCGCTCACATCCGCTCCGCGCCTCGCGGCCCCGAGGACCGACGCGGCGAGGAGACTGCAGCCTCGCGACACTCTGGAGCCGTCTGGGGGCTCTGAGGTGGCTTGGCGCTGGTTCCGGCGAGCAGGAAGTCTACCCAGCCATGATCGCGTCGTGCAAAGGTCAGTACGGGAGGTTTTTGGCAAATTTCGGCCTCGGGCGGCCCTCGCTGGGCCTCGGGACCGTCATAAACCGACTCAGGATGAAAATTCGGTTCCGGGGAAAGGGTCGTGATTTCCAGGGGCTGCGGATTAGATTTATCCTGGCGAAGGACCCAACCATATGCAGTCTGCAGTTGTGGGTACCGCAATTCTGAATATCTTTTTCGGTGGAGCTCGGACGGTGGTACTGGGGGCTTCGATGAAGCTCCCTATGGGGCCACGCGACGATATGTAAGGAAGGCGAAAATGCCACATTGGGTGTTCCGGGACGCGTGCGGACTCTGGCACTGGGGGCTGCGGTGGAGTTTCCTATGGGGCCACGAAGCGATGTACTAGGTGAGTGGAAATTCCGAATTGGGCGTTCCTGGACGCATGCGGACGGTAGCACTGGGGGTTCGGTGGAGATCTCCATGCGGCCACACAGCGCAGTACTGGGTGGGTGAAAATGCCAATTGGTTGTTCCGGGACGCATGCGGACGGTGGCATTGGGGGCTTCGGTGGAGCTCCCTATGGGGCCACGAAGCGCTGTACTGGGTGGGTGAAACGCAGGGAGGAGTGAGGAGGGGGGAGGGAGGAGGGAGGAAGGAAGGAGGGACCACGGGGACCGTTCCTTCAAAACGAAGACCCCACACCACAGGATGGTGGAGAAACAATCAGGATGTCGCATGTCGCATATCTGGGTAGGCCTCTTAGATGGGGTCGGAGTAGATGGGGTCCGAGGAGCGCGCCGCATCGCCGGTGCATCGGCGATGCAGCTCGATGCGGGGCCCGATTTTCTCCGCGCTGGCGTCGCCGATGTATCGCCGAGGTCGCTAGTGCATCGCCGATGTATCGGCGATGCGGCGAGATCCTCCGACCTCATCTGTTCGGACCCCATCTAGTAGGTCTCTAGAGGGGCCAGGGGAGGGGGGGAAGTATCAAGATTACGAGTTGCACAAACCAACGCCAAGCATGCATCGCAGTCGCCACCGCGTGGGTTCTGCAAACCAAATTGCGGGTGAGTGAGTCGGACGTTTGCAAGATCGTGGGATGTGTCAATTCGTTTCTTAAAATATAGTCTCATTGGTCTACCCCCCAGGATTATCGGTAACCCTCATCGCATTGCAATTTAAATGCGATTCAGCCCCATAGTCCATCTTAAATATGAATTCGTACCATCCCAGCCCAACCGGTATCCCCCCCGCCATCCTTTGCGAAAACATGATTATGCGTGTGCATTTGTTCATTCCAAGTCAGTAGTTTTCAGGAATCCTTTGCGACAGAAATCATGACGAAGTGCATGCGCGCGCGCGTCCTCGCGCGCGCATGCCGAAATCCTTAAAACATTTCATTTGTTCGTAAGGATGTCAACTGCGAGTGTCCAAAACATTGTCCTGGCGAAGGACCCAACCATATGCACAGTTGTGGGTACCGCGATCGTGAATATTTTCTTTGGTGAATCTCCCCATGGGGCCACGAAGAGCTGCACTGGGTGGGGGGGGGACGCGTGCGGGCGGTAACACTGGGGCCGTCGGTGGAGCTCCTCATGAGGCCACGAAGCGCTGTACTGGGTGGGTGAAAATGCCAAATTAACTGTTCCCGGACGCGTGCGGACGGTGGCATTGGGGGCTTCGTTGGCTCCCTATGGGGCCACGTACTGGGTGGGTGAAAATTCCAAATTGAACTTGCGGGACGCATGCGGACGGTAGCACTGGGACCTTTGGTGGGGCTCCTTATGAGGCCACGAAGTGCTGTACTGCAAGGGAGAAATGCCAAACTGGGCTTCCGGGACGCATGCGGACGGTCCCACTAGGGGCTTCGGTGGAGCTCCCTATGGGGCCACGAAGCGTTGTACTGGGTGTGCGGAACGCACGCTGACGGCCCTTCCGTGGGGCTCCCTATGGGGCCACGAAACGTTGTACTGGGTGGGTGAAACGCAGGGAGGGAGGAGGGGGCCACGAAACGCTGTACTGGGTGTGCGGGATGCATGCGGACGGCAGCATTGGCACCTTCGGTGGGGTTCCCTGGACGGCCGCGAATCGTGTGAGGGTTGTGCTGAAACGGGTGATGATGGTGATGATGGTGATGGAGGAACGAGGAGAAGGAAGAGGAGAAGGAGGAGGACGAGGATAACGCGGGAACCGTCTCTTCAAAACGAGCATCCAACATCACAGGATGGTTTGGAACAGTGAAACAAAAATTATCCTGGCGAAGGTCCCAACCAGACGCAATTGTGGGTACCGTAATGGTGAATATCTGCTTCGGTGAAGCTCCCTATGGGGCCACGAAGCGCTGCACTGGGCGGGAGGGAACGCTGTACTGTGTGGGTGGTGTGCCAAATTGGGTTTCCGGGACGCTTGCGGACGGTCCCATTGAGGACTTCGGTGGAGCTCCCTATAGAGCCACGAAGCGCTCTACTGAGTGAGTGAAAATACCAAGTTGGGTTATCAGGACGCATGCGGACGGTCCCATCGGGGGTTTCGGTGGAGCCCCCTATCCGGCCACGAAGCGCTGCACAGCGCGGGTGAAAATGCCAAATTGGGTTTCCGGGACGCATGCGGACGGGGGCTCTGGGGTCTTCGGTGGAGCTCCCTATGGGGCCACGAAGCGCTGTACTGGGTGTGTGAAACGCAGGGAGGAGGGGGAGGAGGACCACGACACGTTTACTGGGTGTGCGGGACGCATGCGGACAGTAGCGCTGGGACCTTCGGTGGGGCTCCCTATGGGGCCACGAAGCGCTGTACTGGGTGTGCGGGACGCATGCGGACGGTAGCACTGGGACCTTCGATGGGGCTCCCTATGGGGCCATGAAGCGTTGTACTGGGTGGGTGAAACGCAGGGAGGAGGGGGAGGAGGGCCACGAAACGCTGCAGTGGGTGTGTGGGACGCATGCGGATGGTAGCACTGGGACCTTCGATGGAGATCCCTATGGGGCGACGAAGCGATGTACTGGGTGGGTGAAACGCAGGGAGGAGGGGGAGGAGGGCCACGAAACGTTGTACTGGGTGGGGGGACGCATACGGACGGTATCGCTGGGACCTTCGGTGGGGCTCCCCATGGGGCCACGAAGCGCTGTACTGGGTGTGCGGGACGCATGCGGACGGCAGCGCTGGGACCTTTGGCGGGGCTCCCTATGGGTCCCGAAGCGTTGTACTGGTTGGGTGAAACGCAGGGAGGAGGGGGAGGAGGGCCACGAAACGCTGTACTCGGTGTGCGGGACGCATGCGGACGGCAGCACTGGAACCTATGGTGGAGCTCCCTATGGGGCCACGAAAAGCTGTACTGGGTGTGCGGGACGCATGCGGATGGTAGCATTGGGACCTTCAGTGGGTTTCCCTATGAGGCCACGAAGCGCTGTACTGGGTTGGTAAATATCCTGGCGAAGGACCCAACCATGAAGCTCCCAATGGGGCAACGACGCGCTGCACTGGGTGGGGTGAACGATGTACTGAGTGGGTGATGTGCCAAATTGGCCTTCTTGGGCGCATGCGGACGCTCCCACTGGGCGCTTCGGTAAAGCTTCCCATGGGGCCACGGAACGTTGTAATTGGTGTGCGAAAGTGCCACATTGGGTTTCGGGGTCGCATGCGGACGGTGGCACTGGGGCCTTCGGTGGGGATCCCTATGGGGCCACGAAACGCTTTACTAAGTGGGAGGAAATGCCAAGTAAAGTTTCCGGGGCGCACGCGGACGGTCCGACTAGGCGCTTCGGTGGAGCTCCCTATGGAGATGCTACATTGGGTTTTCGGGACGCATGCGGACGGCGGTACTGAAACATCCAGTGGAACTCCTTATAGGGCCACGAAGCGCTGTATTGGGTGAGTCGAAATGCCACATTCGGTGTTTCGGAACGCTTGCGGACAGTCCCACTGGGGCCGTCGGGGGGTTCCTTATGGGTTCACGAAGCGCCGTATCGGTTGGGAAAAATGCCACATTGTGTTTTCGGGACGCCTGCGGACGGCGGCGTGGCCTTCGGTGGAGCTCCCCATAGGGCCACGAGACGCTGTACAGGGTGGGCGAAAATGCAAAATTAATATTTCGGGACGCGCGCGGACGGTCCCACTGGTGGTTCCGGTGGAGCTTCATGTGGCGCCACGAAACGCTGTACTGGGTGTGCGGGACGCATTCAGGCGGCAGCACTGGGACCTTCGGTGGGGCTCCCTTCGGGGCCACGAAGCGGTGTAGTGGATGGGTGAAACGCAGGGAGCATGGAGAGGAGGGCCACGACGTGCTGTACTGGGTGTGCGGGACGCATGCGGGCGGCAGCAGTGGGACCTTCGGTGGGGTTCCCTATGGGGCCACGAAACGTTGTACTGGGTGGGTGAAACGCAGGGAACAGGGAAAAGAGGGCCACGAAACGGTGTACTGGGCGTGCGGGACGCATACGGGTGGCAGCACTGGGACCTTCGGTGGGGCTCCCTATAGGGCCACGAAGCGCTGTACGCGGTGTGCGGGACGCATGACGGCAGCGCTGGGACCTTTGGCGGGGCTCCCTATGGGTCCACGAAGCGTTGTACTGGATGGGTGAAACGCAGGGAAAAGGGGGAGGAGGGCCACGAAACGCTGTATTCGGTGTGCGGGACGCATGCGGGCGGCAGCACTGGGACCCTCGGTGGGGCTTCCTATGGGGCCACGAAGCGGTGTAGTGGGTGGGTGAAACGCAAGGAGAAGGGGGAGGAAGGCCACGAAACGCTGTATTGGGGGCGTGCGGGACGCAGGCGGCCGGCAGCACTGGGTCCTTCGGTGGGGCTCCTTCGGGGCCACGAAGCGGTGTA